CATCCGGGCACTGCAGGAGACCCTCAGTCGCTTCAAAGCATTGGCCGTCGACCCCACTGAATTCGCCTGCATGAAGGCCGTGGTGCTTTTCAAACCAGGTGAGGGGACTCACCAGCGCCCGCCGCTGCCTGTCCCCGTGTCCCCACCCACCCCGTCACCTCCTTGTCCCTGCAGAGACCCGTGGCCTGAAGGACCCCGAGCAGGTGGAGAACCTGCAGGACCAGTCACAGGTGATGCTGGGCCAGCACAACCGTTCTCACTACCCCGGGCAACCCGTCAGGTACCGCCAATCCCAACGTCCCCACGGGTGACACCAGGGGTGGGGGACACCCACCCATGGCCACCGCTCCTCCCCCCAGGTTCGGGAAGCTGCTGCTGCTCCTCCCGGCGCTGCGCTTCATCTCCTCCGAGCGTGTGGAGCTGCTCTTCTTCCGCCGGACCATTGGCAACACCCCCATGGAGAAGCTGCTGTGCGACATGTTCAAGAACTGACCTCCCCCCACCCCGATGTCACCTGGCTTGTTTGTCACTCTGCATTGACACCCTGTCACCCCCACCCTGGGTCTCCTCACCCCGGGATGCTGCGGGGTGTGATGATGCTGGTGGACCCATCTCCAGGGTGGTGGCCAGGATGCTGCTGGCAGCTGGGACATGGGACCAGCTTCACTGGGGACAGCTGGTGGCAGAGGGGTGTCCCTGAGCAGGTGCCAGACGCACCGAGAGCACCTCATTGGGGTGGGTGCCTCCATGGGTGCTGCTGTCCCAAACGGTGGAGACCCATGGACCCAGGCAAGGTGCCCTTGCTGTGGCAGCAGAACCCATGGGGACCCACTGCGACCTAGGGGTGACACCAGACTGGGGGTGACACTGGCCTGGGAGTGACGCCAGCCTGGGGCATGGCATCCCAGGTGGTGGCAGCCCAGGGGTGATGCCAACCTTGGAGTGACACTGGACATGGGGTGATACCAGCCCAGGGTATGTATGACACAAGATCAAAGGTGACATTGTGGGGTGATGCCAGCCCGGGGGTGACACTGGCCGGGGATGATGCCATCCTGGGGTTAATTCCAGCCCCGGGGTGACACTGGTGAGGGTTGATGCCAGCCTGGTGGTGACATCAGCCCCGGGATGACACTGTCCCAGGGGTGACATTGGCGGGTGGGTGATGCCATCCCGGGGCCCGATGTCCCCCCCCGCCACAATCCCTGCCCCTCACTCAGGGGGCAGGGGGCCCCCTCCCCACCGCAACTTCAGCTCCGTGATCCCAGGGGACAGGCGGTGATGGACCCTCGTCCCCGTGTCCCCGGGGGGTTCCTGCTCTGTCCCCCTCCCCCTATTTTATACTCCAAATAAAGAGGGCTTTTGCAGTCGGCCTCCCCGCGCCGCTGACTCGGGGTCCCCGTCCTCGCATGGGGGTGGCAGCGGGGCCGGGGCGGGGGGGACACCAGCTGAGCATAAATAATCTGAATATAAAAAAACCCCTGAAAATATATTATCCGAATATAACTAAGCTAAATATAAACAAGAGGTATCGAAATAATCTGAATTAAATAAGCAAAATATAAACAAGATGAAGAGGAATAACGTGAATATGAATAAAATGAAAAGAAATAATGTGACTATAAATTAATTGAAAATAAATTATCTGAATGGAAATAATCTGAATAGAAATGATCTGAATAGAAATAATCTGAATAGAAAGAATCTGAATAACGTAAATAGAAATAATCTGAATAATCTGAATAGAAATAATCTGAAATAACCTGAATGCACATAAATGGAAAACAAATTATCTGAATATAAATAAGCTAAATGCAAACACTCCAATTAGAAATTGAATAATTTGAATAGAAACGATCTAAATATAAACAAATTGAAAATAATCTGAATAGAAATAATCTGAATTCAATGATGCGGAAGGACCGAGCCGGGAGCGCAGCCTCAGCCC